GCTCAAAGATCACTCCTGACTGACTTGGGGCACCATACGGGATGCTGGGGATAGAGTGTGGGTTGTTTGCATGCAAGGAAAACACCCTAGTTTCTATCATTCTGGCCTGTAGCCTTGTTCTTTAGGTCCAGCTGCTAGCCTGGAATTTCCTTGTACCAATACCCTGACTCCATACCTTTCTGAGACTGAATGTTCAACTTGCAGTTGATTTATTCCTTTGTTTTAGTGGAACACCTAAGGCAGTTTCCAAATAGAGTGCATGATGAGAAATCTGTTGAGACTTGCCTGAAAATGTTTTTATTCCTGCCTAACCCTTGGACAATAATATGACTGGATAATTGTTAGTGAATAATAATGTTTGCTCAGAAATCTGAAAGTCTTGTTCCATTGATGTAATTATTAAGAACATGGAAGCCACTCTGGTTCTTGGAGTTTTATAACAGGAGAAGAAAATTATTCCTTTCTCTTTAACACATTTCCTTTTATTTCCTATCAAGATTTTCGAAGCAAAATTAAATCCTAAACTCCATTGGAATTGTATGACTAGGGGGATAAATAATTCATACATGGGAGAGGGCCATTGTAGGAATGACTATGATAAATAATGATGGTTAAACAGCTAATATTTACTAAACATCTATTTGCACTAGGCCTGTTTTCAAAAAAATTGGGACCAGGCAAATAGAAATCTAAGCACCCATTACAGCAACCTTATTGACAACAGAACAAAGGCATAAACAACAAAATGTTAATCCAAAGAGGAACTGATACACAAATGTTCTATGTGTATAGAACAGAATATCATTCAGGAGTAATTCCTATGTGCAGAGTCAGGCATAACCCCTGTGCATCACTAGGTGTGACCCTCCCCACTCCCCCCCACCCCAAATTTGGCCTTCTTTCACTGTTGGTGGGAATGCTGACTAGTCCAGCCTTTTTGGTAAGCAATATGGGAATTCCTTTAAAAACTAGAAATTAAGTTTCTATATGACCCAGCAATACTACTTCTGAGAATATATCCCGAGGCTTTAAAAAAAAAGCACAGTAGAAATGACATCTACATCTGCATGTTCATTGTAGCACTGTTCACAATAGCCAGAATCTGGAAACAACCCGAGTGCCTGAGAACAGATGACTGGTTAAAGAAACTTTGGTACATCTGCACAATGGAATCCTATGCAGCTGTTAGAAAAGATGAAGTCATGAAATTTTCTTATAAGTGGATGGTCAAGGAGAGTATCATGCTAAGTGAAATGAACCAGAAAGAGAGGGACAGACATAGACTGACTGCACTCATTGGTGGAATATAAAATAATATAATATGAAACTTGTGTAAACTCCTTCCTCGGAGCTGTGTAAACTCCTTAGCTCGGGTGATGCTATGAGTGATTACACATTAACAGATATACTCTCGGGCTCTCCAGGCGGCTCTCTCGTGCCACCCACGTTCGTGCTCTTGAACCGCTTCTGCACCTGGGACAAAGGAAGAACAAAGCCAAACTGGTGATCAGTTGCTGTTTATTCCATCTCTCATCTTTTCCAAACTCTGTCCATAACTCTAACTCTGCCCTACTCCCAACTCTCTCTACCTCCCTCCTCAGCTCTCTCCACTTCTAGCTCCAGCTCTCTCCAACTCTCACTTTCTCCCCAATTCTGCCCGCAGCAACCCTCTCTCCAACTCTTTCTCATCTCTATACAACCCTCTCTCTAACTCACCACTCCCAAACCATGCCTCCTCCTTGGGAAGTGCAATCAACATGTTTATCAAGCCTTCCTAACCACCTTCAGCCAACAAGGGCAAAACAGCACTTTTTAATGTATGTTTCTTCTCTCCTTAGACCAGTAACTTGATTAAAATCTTAATTCTACTTCCTAACATTTGCCATTCTATATGGACACTGTCATAGACATATTTAGGCTTGTAGGGTGACTCTCCTTGGGACCACAGACTCAGACTCAGACTTGGGACCACTGTGCTCAGGCCAGATTAATCATTCCTAACCCTAGCAGAGTCTGAATCTAGTTATTACTTTTTGGATCATGACAGAATTTGTCCATGACCAGACTCTTATAGTATTATGGCACTTTGACCTGGCCCATTTCGATACCAGGATAGCTCACAGCTTGCCCTTGGTTCATCCAGTCCCTTCTCAGGAGTCTGCTTTTGGGGTGCTAGGAAGTAAGGGAAACTGAGGTTTAAGTCAAGAGAATAGATGCCCCAGGGTGAATATCATTCAGAGTAAATTAACTCCCAAGTTACAAAAGCATAGCATTAACTGTCTTCCTGTGTCCATACAAAAAGCAATTGCTCTGATGTAACTAACCATGCAGAGAACATTAAGAAGAAGAGAAAAACAATATTTACAAGTCAACAGAGTCTGATCAGGAGGCTAAAGTAATTGACAGGTTGGGGGAGCAATCAACAAACCCAAGCTTCCTGTGGCCAGGGAGGAAGGGGAAACCAATGTCATTTTACAAGACTGACACCCAAGGACAGTAGAGTCAGGGCCAGGAATATTGCTCCAAGGTTGGTAGCCTGCCTCATGAGCTGGGGGAGAAGGCAGCTAGAATAGAGAAGGAATCACTAAGTCAATGATGGTTGAAGGGATGGTTTGGGATCGGAGATGTGTGCTGAGAGTAGAAAGAGGACAAAAATGTGATAACCTCTCAGTATTTGTATTGCAAACCATAATGCCCCAAAGTAGAGAGAGAGTAAGAGAGAAATTGTTGCCATAGAGGGAGGGGTGGTATGGGGGGGATACTGGGGACATTGGTAGTGGAAAGTGTGCACTCATGGAGGGATGGGTGTTTGATCATTGTATCACTCCAACTCAAACTGAAAGCTTTGTAACTGTATCTCACGGTGATTCAATTGAAAAAAAAGAAAGATTTGTCCCTTTACAAAGAAATCTGGGAGCTAGAGAGATAGTATGGCGGGTAGGCCTCTGAATGCAGCTGACCTGGGTTCCATCCCCAGCACTCTCTATGGTCCCCTGAACCTCCCCAGGAGTGTTCCCCAAGAACTAACCCAGAATTTCCCTGAGTATTGACAGGCATGGAACAAAAACAAACAAAATAATTTTAAAAATCTGGCACTTTATGCCATTTTTTCTCTTATTAACAAAGATATAGAGCACATAGTTCTGGGGGGTTAAATTTACTCATCAAACTATAAACTGTGTGGCCTTAAGGAAATGATTTAATTTGTTTCTTGATGTGCAGAATGGACACCGAATGGCACATATTTACGTTTTTAGACAGATAAATTATGAAATACATGCATACCTTCTACAGTACATACATTATAATATATACATACAGAGAATTAAGTAAAGTTTGTGTTCATTTAGTCTTTACTATCTAGAGTCAGAGATGTGACTTCAGTGGTAGATACATGTGCTGCAAGTTTGAGACTCAGGGTTCCAACTCTGCACAGCACGCCCCTCCCCCTACCCTTAGCACTAGACATGCCTGAGAATTGCGCTTGGCCCTCGTTTCCACCACTGTCTGCCCCATGTCCTGGGCTGCCCCGGCTGGGCAAGCGGCCGGGGCCCACCCTGAACGTGGGCGGCTAGGGGAAGAGCCGTCGGGGCCTCCCCCTGGCTGCCTCTTAACGAATTTATGCAGGGTACAGTTACAAATTTATGAAATTTCGCGTTTTCATTACAGTCATACAATTATCATTTACCATCTCTCCACCAGTGCACATTCCCTCCCACCAATGTTCCCAGCATCCCTCCCATCACCCCCACTCTATCCCCCACCACCCGTCTCAGCGTGGGGCATTCCTTTTTATTCTCTCTTCTTTTGGGTGTTGTGGTTCACAATAGAGGTACTCTGAGCGGCCATCATGTTCACCCTATAGTCTACTTTCAGCAGGCATCTTTCAACCTGAATGGGTCCTCCCAACATCCTTTACTTTGGGACCCCATTCTTGATGAAATTGACTTCAGTTTACTTAAAAATTATACAATTAAGACAGTTGTGGTCCATCCATTGTTCTTTTGATCTCCCTTCCACTCTTTACAATTTGGGTAGGATTTCCATTTTGCTCTAAGAAAATTTAACTATGAAGTCTTCCAGTTAATTATGTACCAAAGTCAGAAACAAATTCTCCATGTACACAGAAAAAAATAGCATTGAACTCTTTTCAGAAGCAATGCCCTGTACTTGTCTTTTCAGCAAAAATTCCCAACCTAAAAATAAAGGGGGACGGGGTGTAGAAGAGACGTTTGAAAACCCAGTTGAACTTCTTTCTCCACCCTGAGAAGACTTTTTCCTCAAAAGAGTATCTATCTAGTTTGATGGTTTCTGATGCTCCCAACTCCGCAGTGAAACTAAGTGGAAGCAAGACCACGTGTTTGAAATCAGCTTATGCTGAACAGGAAGACGCTTATGCTTTGGGGATTATTTCCTAAATCTTTCTGAGACTACTGCCTGGTTTTCAAAAATATTGCCTGGTTATCTGTGCTCCGTGGTTTCCTCTTTAGGAATAACTCTTTCCTAAACTAACGTCCACATAACATCTTCTGTTACTGTGGGCTTTCTCAGACCCGTCTTTGGTAGCAATCGCCACAATTCTACTTTTCCTTGAAGTATGTCATTCTTAGCATCAGCTTACCATGCTGTAGGGTCCTAGAAAGGTCAGAGTCAGGGACCCCCCCAACTCTGTTCACTCCCTCCAGCACTCCCAGACTAAACCCATTTAAGTTCGCCCCTTAATTGTAACCAACTGCCTGGCACATAGTGGGCAGTGTGAGAGCAAATGAATGACAAAAGGGCAGCTGCCTAGGGCTGACATCCTGCTCCAGGAAATCCAAGGCTGCAGCTCCCGCCCGGGCGCCGCCAACACCCCCAACCCCGCTAGCCCCTAGTCCTGCCCTTACCACCCCACTGGGACTCAGCCAGAGCCTGCGGCCACCACCCGGGGGCGGGACTTCCGGCCGCTCAAGTTGAAGAGTCCCGGCGGGAGCCGGAAGCGCCTCGCTGGAGCGGGCTGCGCCGTGGCCCCCCGTGTGCCGCGGTCCCGAGGTGAGGTTCCGGAGGGCCTGGGGTCAGCTGGCGGTCGCCCGCCCGCCCTCCGTGGCCTGGCACTTTCCTGACCTCTGGCCTACCGCGCGGTGGGGACTGCTCGAAGGTTCCCGGGCTCGGCGCGCCTGGCCCGTTGGACGCGCGGGACGGTTGCCGGGCAGGGGCGCGGCGGCGCGCAGGGCGCGGAAGTGTCCGGGAAGCCGCGGGCCCGCGCCCCTCCGGCCGCCGCCGCCTCCGGGGGGCCCGCGGGGGTGGCCCAGGTCTGCCGGGCCAGGGGCGGCTGCGCTAGGGTGTGCGGGTGTGTGTGTGGGGTGGGGGGGGCGGGGAGGAGGGCAAGTTGGCGGCGTCTCCTCCGCTCCCTCTTTTTTTTGTTTTTGGGGGAGGGTGGAGGAGGGCGAGGGGCGGTCTCCGGTGCAGCTGGAGCTCCCCCCCACCCCCACGCCTTCCTGAAAGGAACTCCGCGCTGCAGTTGCCTTGCAAAGTGCTCGTTTCGGATGAACCAAAGTTGGAGAAGTTTGTCTTTGTGGAAGCCGGGCGTTGTGGCGGCCGCCACTCGTCGCCGCGCGCTCCCCAGCAGCTCTGTGCTCTGGGGCCAGCCGTGCGTCCTGACAGCTCCCATGCCCCGGGCCCCTAGTTTCTAGAGGCGATACCCGGGATCCTGCCCTTCCTCAAGTTCCAGGGCTCGGTTCTCCGCGAAACGCCCGGGGGGCGTTGAGGGGCGCGGCCCGGGCACCGCTGTCAGTGGAGGAAACTGACGAGCAGTTGCCCCAGCGGCGGGCTTGGGTGCTGTATCCCAGGCTCGGGGCGGGAAGCAGATCTTTGGGACCACCTTTTTCCCGAGTCCAGGCTTCAAACCTTCTTTCCACTGTGGTGATGTAAGATTCTAGCAAGAAAGAACTTTTGGATTGTGCTCACCGGGCTCAGAGATGGACGTTCCAACAACTTGTGCCTCCCCGAAGGGCACACGTGATCACACACGTGAAGGTGTCAATTGCAAACACTGTGCTGTCTCAATTTTCAGCCGGTGGCTAAGGCAGAACATTGAGAAAAGATGCTTTCTGGCTAATGAACAGCGCCTCATGAGCCACAGGAGGGACAGTTTTAGCTCTTTTGGGTTAATTTGGCTACCACACTAGATGGTGTGGGAGGCTTCTCTAGATTTTGTTGGGAGGCAGGAAAGAGGTCAGGGCGTGCCCCTTTGGTGCACTTGGGCGTCTTGATGTACAGGGATGGGACCTGGGATCCACCCCTTTGAATTATCTCCCCGGCCCAGTTATAGCCGTTTAATAAACACATAAAATATCTATTTTGGGGTCTCTTGAGAATCAGAATGCCTTATAATATATCCTGTCTTTAATTCGCTTTTTGAAATAGGGTATGCTTGAAAGTATTGTCTTGTTAATGTCCTGGGACATCACTTATGCTGTATTCCTGTGGTGTCCATAATAGGAAAGCAGATGGTGTGTTTCCAGCAGACCTTTCTCCCGTGTATTTTGAACAGTTCTTTCTCAGTTACAATGCATTACTAGCTGCTCTTTAAAGGGTAAACTAAGCTCAGCTTCTTGGCCTTGTCTCTCAGAATGCCTTGGTTGCCAGAATTAATGTTTGAAATATACAGTGTTAACAAATAATAGAGCAAGGGCATTGTGGGCCAGGTATTGGTTAAGGAATTAAGTGTCATCACTTTGGCCATTTGGAGTTTTGGGGGAGAACTGATTGGATTGGGCTGTTGCATTTTGAAAGGTAGATGATGAGGTTACCCAGTCAAAGGTTTCTTGTTGAGTACAGAGTGTGTGCTAGGATCTTTTTAAGACTCTAGTTAGCCGGAAGGAATCACTGTTCTTGGGTTCTTTGTTCATATTAGAAGCAGATATGAGAATTGGAAGATATGCCATTAAAAAACCCCAAACTGAATTACCCCCAGGATAGTAGGATGTAAAAGTCACCTGGGATGGGGCTGCTTTAGCCATGGTGGTCAGGGAAAGCCTTTCTGAGGAGGAGACACAGGGCTGAAGACGGAAAGGAAAAGGCTGTGAGGAATCTAGGGAAAGGAGGCGGCCAAGTAGTAGGTCGGTGTCAGATCTGAAGGCAAGAAGATTCCTGAACAGGAGCAACTCAACCCAGAATGGCTGAGGGTTAGTCCAGGGCCAGGTCACATTCAGGGCTCGCTAAGGAGGCAGGATTTCATTGCTGTTGCCTTGGAGAGCCGTTGAGAGGGTCATGAAAGAGACTACAGTCTGAGTGTTATTTTTAATGTTGTGGGTCACAGCCAGCTGTGCTCAGGGAACTTCATGGCGGTGGTGCCTGGGTTTGAGGTTTCAGGTGGTGTTCCTGGCATGGATTCTGGATCTTCTGCCTGCAAGTGAAGCTTTCCCAACTCCTGACGCTGTGGTGAGTGCACTGTCTGTGGTGAAAGTGGGCATGGAGACCCACTTGTTTAAGGTTTGATGCCACTTTATTATTATTATTATTATCTATCCTTAATTGTTTCAAAAATTGTTTTAAACCACTTGTAGGTGCAGCCATGCAGGAAAACCTCAGATTTGCTTCATCGGGAGATGATGTTAAAATATGGGATGCTTCGGTTTTTATGTTGGTGGATAAGTTCAACCCCCACACATCGCCACATGGAATTAGTTCACTGTGTTGGAGCAGCAATAGTATCCTTTTTTAGAAAGAGGAAAATTATTTTCTGAGGTTGGGTCATCGATATCAAAGAAACTTCTGCATGTGGCCCAGAATGAAAATCCATTTTGCATAATTATAAAGGATGAAGTTGGAGTTTAATAAATATGAATGCACACTGACAATTATTTTCTGTTGCTTTCATTTAAAATAAATGTGATTGAAATCCACTACATTGAAAAACAATGATTTAGGGTGTGTGTGTCTGTATGCATATATATATATAGAGAGAGAGAGATAGATACACATATATAGACACACATATACACATATAGATTTAGATATATATAGACACATCTATATATGTGTGTGTATATACATACATATATATGTATGTATTTAGATTTTAGAGCCAGACTTGGAGAATTTTGTTATCAGCAGTTTGCTATTGAATCAATTGGAATAATGTAGGCAATGGTTAAGGAAACTTGTGAAGTCTTTTGAATGAGTTTTTGCATCTTATATTTGATTATTTGTGGATCTGGGCTTGAAATTAAAGGCAACTTAATTGACAAAAGCAGAGATTGGTGAAGGAATTTAAAATCGTACAATATCCCCACCTTACTGATGTACTGTCTTTCTTGTCCTTTTTGTGATGAAAATAGACACTTTTCCCAGATTGTCCAGTTTGAACTCTGCTGTGCTTGCTTATATTTGTGCTTATACTCTCCTTGTCTTAGTAAGCTACTGAGTGTGGATAAAATTAGTGAAGGGGTGAAATGGGCAAGTCACGTTTACAGCCTAGAACACTTGATGTAATTCTTTTCACCTGGGGACTATGCTGTGGCGTGCAGGATATTTCAAACCTTGGCCGCTACTCACCAGGTTCTACTTGCTCACTGTTACGACAACCAAATTTGTCTTCAGAATTGCCAGATGTCACCTGGGTTCAGCAAACCCTATTTGGGATCCCTGTTATAAAGTACTCATCAGCTGTAGTGTGCTTGAAATTACTGTTAACTCATGAAACTCTTAAGCAAAATGAAGTTTTGACACACACGTTCTTACCAATACCACAGTATTAAAATTCTGCTTCCTGATGAAGGTAAAACCTTTTTGTTTTGGGGGGGCTGCAACCCGTGGTTTTTAGGGACTAAATCCAGCGTGGACGTCTCCCTGCCTCTGAAAGCTGTAAAATGTGACTAATACAGATGGGCCGAAATTTTCATAACCCTGTCCCTATAAATATCTTAACAAAATGATCAATTTCCTGATTGCTTCAATTTACATATTCATCATGAGTTTAATTCACTTAGCTTGGATTCCAAGAGTGGTGTTAATAGTTAGGTTTCATGGAGATTAGTTTTCTATTTGATGGTCCTCTAATATTCTTTACTTTCTAATGACTTCTAACACTAAAAGGGAAATGAAAGGACTATCTTTATTACCCTTTATTTCTCTTCAGTTAGGGAAAAAGTAGTAGGATACTAGAAAAAGAAAAGACTAAGGGGGAAAAATTGATTTTTGTTTTTTTAGTGCTATAATATCTTTGGAGTGGAAAGGTATGATTCTGTTAAATCATATATCAAAATAAAATCATAATCCATGGTCAGTTTACAAAATATTTAAATTATTATGCAAATTAGGCAGTAATACAGTCAAGACATTATTTATTAAAAAGTATAAACTAGAATAGCTGGTTTGACTTTGAAATTGTTTTTAATTAGAGAATTCTAAACTTTCTTGGTTTATTTCCGCCTTCTTAGAAAAATATAATCAGTTAGCATCCACCTGGAAATTTACCTCCTTTAAATTTCATCAGCAGAAAGCGCCCCCTTACAGCTTCCCAGGACTAGGGGCATCTGCTACCCCCTGGTCTGTTCAACACAGACCTGGTGTTGGGGACCAAGAGGCCCCATTATTGCCCTACTTTGGGAAAAACTGGGTTAGGTCTTGGAGCTGTGTTGCTAAAAAATGTAAAAAAGTTTTGATATTTTACTTTGTTTCATAACTTTTGTTTTTTAAAATGCATGTTTTGTGGCCACTGATTGTTCTACTCATAATTTAAATTTCTAATTCAAGATTCTATCTTATTTTTATTAATCTTTTGTTTTTGTTTTTGGGCCATACCAGGTGGGTGGTCAGGGGGTTACTTCTGGCTCTGCACTTAGGAATTACTCCTGGTAGTGCTTTGGGGACAATATGGGATGCCCGGAATTGAACCTGTGTTGGCTTTGTGCAAGGCACATGCTCTACCTCACTGTACTATTGGTCTGGTCCCTCAAGATTCAATTTTAAATGTTACAAATCAAATTTAAAGTTGAACATTTAAAATAGAATTCCTCCTTAGCACAGAGCTGCTATTTGGCTGCATTTACATTTCTTCCTTTTACTGTAGTATTTATTAACATTGTCACAGAAGTTCCAATTCTGCTAAATATCAGGCTTTAATTTGCAGTGAAAAAATAGGAGATTCACGTACTCATTTCTTAGCCTAGATTGAATCAAGCCTGGCATTAATAAATAAATATCTCAAACAGCTTTCATAGATGAAAAGACTGATACTTGCTGATGTTGCTTTTATCATGCTTTCATTCTCGAAGGTTAAAATTAGACCTTCTGGCCTACTCTATGGAAATGGAGTAGTATTTCACATGGTTTAAATAGCTTTCAAGTGATTGTGAAGCCAGAAAGGACATTTCTTCCCTGCGGTAGTAGTGAAGAGAATTAGTCTAAGTAATTAGTAATCTGAACCATTTTTGGAAGCAGTGTATATGCTATTTTCATTTACTTGTCTCCTTTGGTGTGCTTGCTTTTATCGTAAGTTTTCTAATGATGGCCTAGTACTCAGGATGCTCATGGATTGTTTGATGTTCCATAACTCTTCATTTAGATAACTTTCTAGTGACAGCATCTTCCAATGGTGACAAAATAGTGGTTTCAAATTGCAAGTGTAAACCTGTTCCACTTTTAGAGTTTGGTGAAGGGGTAAGTAATGTTTTTTTTTTTGTTTTTTCGATTAAAAAATCTTGGTTTTAGTTGGATGGTAATCGCTAATTTAGTGTGGTGCTTGCAAGTAAATATAAGGTATTTGTGTATTATTTTCAGTTTCCTAGTAGTACTGTAAAACAGTTGTACTTATAGATGAGATACATACTGAAACATCTTTAGGTAAAATGCTAGTGTATCCTAAGGAAGTAATCAGGACTTAGTTTGTCAAGTGAGTATTGCTTTCTTGTTTCCCCTTTGTGGGAGGTTCCCTGATACTGTTGCCCTATTGTAGGGCTGTATACCTCCAAGGTCACTGACTTGACTTGATAGAATCCTGATACATCACCCTAAACTTGCTTATCTTGGACTCAGGACTCTGAGCTTCTGTGCACCCTGATAGTATCAAGGGGTCTTGCCTGAGCCTCCTCAAGCTTTTCTGGAGATGACGTTATCAAAATGAACTTTGAGTCCAGAGCATTTCAATGAAACTTCCACTGCCTAGAGTTTTCTATTAGCCCTATTGATTCAGGATATCGCCGGTTTCACTTCACTCACACACATAGCTTGAAAACCTGTTGCTTTTAAGAATAAAATAGGCTCTAAATAAAAGGGCATATACTTGGTGGCTTGCTCTTTACTTCACTTTCAAAGTTTTTACAAAATACCTTAAATTATTATAAATTATCATGATTTTACACAGATTAAGCTCTGGAGAATACAGCAAGACAGTGGAATAAGTTGATCAAGGGTGAAAAGAATTCAGGAGTTCTTGTTCTTCCCTAGAGATATCTGGTGGTCTTGAGCCAGACACCAGATTTGGCTCACAAGTGTTGAAGACCAACGCATTAGCCTTTAGAATCAGTAGGGGGATTTGCCCTCCCCCCAAGTTTTATATTTTGTAAAAATTTAAAATATAATAGAATGTTCACATGTCTGACAATTTGAAGGATTTGGTGAAATCTTCACGTTTCCTGCACAAGAAAACACAGAAACATACAGAACGATATTATTGAGAGGTGTTATTGTTGAAATTTGAATCTCCTTTCATTCAGTTTCCTTATGAAAGATTCTGTGAACAATTGGTTCTTTAGCTATTAAGTAAAATATTTCTTCCTGAGATAGGGAAAGAGAGAGAGAGTGCTTTGAGAGAACACAGGCATCTCCAGAGTGAAAGCAAAAAAAAAAAAACCCACAATTTTCCAGCCTGGAGTGATAGTACAGCAGGTAAAGGCGCTTGCCTTACAAGCTGCTAACCTGAGTTTCACCCCACTCACTACGTATGGTTCCCCAAGTCCCACCAGGAGTGATCCCTGAGCACTGCTAAGTATATGACCCCCCTCCAACCCCCCCCAATTATATAATAAGAGAAAAGTAGATAAATTAAAAATAAGCTAGTGAAAAAAAAAAACCCTAGAAAATTTTTTTATACTATGTTGACAGTCTTTGCTCCATAGGATCTAAAGCCTATCATTTATCACTCACTTGCCAATTGAGACCTGGGAAAAATATGATTTTCCAGCCTGGGAAACTAAGATTCTACCCCACTTGCTTTTAGCTTTTAAAGAGGAATTTAAACTCATATTTTATTTTGCTTTTCACCTCCTTAAGCAGATTGTAATGAGTAGTAGTATTATAAGAATAGGTCTATTTAACCTAAAGTGGTATGCTGTATAACCAAGAGATTTCACCAGTTTTCTTTTTTTTTAATTTTAAAACTGTACTTGGTGTCTTGGGTACAGGTTTCCTGGAATGACCCCACACTTTACATTAATTATTGAAGCTCATTAGTTACATTAATAATATATTAACATAAAAATATCTTATATCATCAGGGTAGGCCATCTGTACAATAGGTTTAGTTTTGAATCTGTAAGAGTAATTTGCTTTGATGAATGAAAGATCCCAGTATTTTAATCTTTGGTGGATACCATTTTTGTCTTTTAGAGGTTATTTTGATAGTTTGTAGCAAACTCTTATTTGTAGAGATAATTGGATTTTAGATCTTACTGGTTTAGGTCAAAGTCAGATTCCTAGGATGGTGCCTGCAAAGAAATTATAATCCCTCTACTGACACATTGATCCAATGTGCTTCTGATATTTTATCATTGTTAAAAATTTTGACTTTCGGTCAAAATGTCAGGTTTGGAGAAACCTGGGGGTGAGCAGGTGGGGGAGGGCTCGGCAGAGTGGGTTTCTACAACCTTTTAAGAATTTGCTGCTCTTGGACAGAGGTGTGTAGACCCAAGTTAAGAATGGTAGATTTAGTTTTTTACATCTCATTCTTCAGATGAAGAAACGGGCATGGAAAGGTGAAAGGACATTATAAACCTTATTAGCTTGCCTTGTTTTACTAAATCCCAATCTGTTCCCTTTGGAATTCATTTCTCTGTTTCTTCCCTATGGCATTCAGCTGTACTCAGGAACAATCAATGTAACAACATAAAGTGTCTACAAGTTAAGTGGGGCAAACAGTCATGCGGTGTGTATTTAGCTAGGCACACCAGAGAGATGACAGCCATAGATATTTGGAAGAAAAAGAGTGTTTTTTTCTGATTAAAAATTTAATAGCCTGTATTTTTCATCATTTGTGCTTTAATATTTATCGACTTTGGATATGGACTTTTTATGAAACTGACATTCTGTTGGGAGACATAATAAACTAGCCAACCAAATACCTAGATCGTAATAAGTTATGCCGAAAATGAAATGCATTAAAGGAGCAAGTCAATTTAGGTGGCCAAGGGAGGGAGGTCTTCTAAGATCTAACAATCAAGTTGGTTTCTATTGATCAAAAAATGCCTTCTTTTGCCGAGTTCAGGGAATTACATTTCAAGCAAAGGAGAATAAACTGTGTAGAAATCTTAAAACACAGTCCTGTGCTATTTAAGGAATGGGAAAAAGGAGTTCAGTGTTGCTTAAGAATTAGTGGGGCCAGGAAGACAATGAGAGATGAGGGGCTAAGCAATAGGATTTTAAAGCAGAAGTATAATGAGTTTGGAATAACATGTGTGATTGAAAGCCACTGAGAACTTTTATGGGAGCGGCATAATTTAGTCATTTAGTTTTGTGGTGCTGGGGATCATCATACTCAAGGCCTTCCACATGTGAAGCCTGTGCTCTTCTTCCATCAGCCACCTCCTCAGCAATAACTTTTTTTTAAAGGTCACCTGATGAATGAAGCAGAGCTTGTAAGGAAGTTGAGGTAGAAGCAGGGCAATCAATTTAGAAAACTGCCATTGTGGTTGAATGGGATTTGGATTTGGACATTAGGGGGTATTAGTGATAGGGACATCAGATTTAATTTGGACTTGGCATTTAGAGAACTAAATGATAAATCAGAGGGAATAACAATAGACATTAACAGGAGCTGAAGCGATAGTACTGCAGGTAGGGCATTTGCCTTGCACGTGGCTGATCTGGGTTCGATTCCCAGCATCTCATATTTTTCTTAAAAAAAAGAAAAAAATAGGAATCATTAGGGTACCTCTGGAGTTTGGTCTCAAGAAACTGGATAAATGTTTTGCTTGTAGACATAGGAAAAAGTGTCAAGTCAGGTTCTGATGGCCTGATATTTGAGACTAGAGTTTCTTAGGGGAAGATTTCCTGCAAATAGTGTGACTTTTTTTTTATTTTAATAAAACTTTACCCTCTGGGACTACATTAGACATTGCCCAAGTTTATACTAAGTAAGGGGACTAATTTAGACATTTTTCAAAATCTGCTCTGCCTTTACTATTTTTAAGCTGTGAGTTGAATTCAGTTGGAGATATTCTGTGGAAGTGCAAGAACTGGTTTTATTAAAGGGAGATGTTCAAAGCAAGTAAGCCCTGAAGGGAGACCCAGAACTTGATATTGTTTCCTGAGCTTCCACTGTCCCCTCTGTTCTCTGCTAGAGAAAGCAGATAGTGACTGCTTTCCTCAAACCCTTTTGGAACCCCTTAAGAACTGTTGTATTCTGGTGGAAGATGAGAGGTTAATCTTTGAACAAGGATTATCTTGTTCATAGCATTTAATTGAAATATTTATCAAATGCTTATTCTGTGTTGCATGAGACTTCAAAGTCAACTACATAGTATTAACTAAGGGTAACTTTTTTTCCCCCCTAACAGCAAAAGCAGACATGTGTCAGTTTGAATTCCACTTCTATGTATTTGGTAAGCGGAGGCCTAAATAGCACAGTTAATATTTGGGATTTAAAGTCAAAACGAATTCATCGATCTCTTAAGGTAAGTAACTTTATGTATACAAAAAATTGAATTTTTTGTGATATATTTAGAATTGTGCTATTTCTTTACTTTTGAGCTCATGATAAACCCGATGCTTTATACATATATATATATATACATATATATATACATATTTATTTATTTTTTTAATTTGGGTGTGTCATAGTGGTGTTCAGGGCTTACTTCTGACTGTGCTCAGGAATTATTTGTGGCAGATTCAGAGGACCATATTGTGTGCCAGGGATTGAACCCAGGTCAGTTGCATACAAGGCAAATGCCCTGGACACTGTACTTACTATTGGTCTCACCTCAAGGTGCTTTAGAAATGAAGTGAGATTTATTTGAGAAAATTAAGATACAATTTATCCAAAATTAAATTTTATTTTGCTTTTCTTCCACGTCTATCATCAGTACATTTTATTATTTTTTAAAAACTTTCACTTAGCTTTTCACAGTATGCTGGTTGTAGTGAATTTTTTCCTGGAGTATATAGTTTTCATTGTCATCAGAGAATTTTACAATTGATAATTAAAAATATTAGCATTTTATGGTTTTGGAAAATGTCATTACATGAAAGCCTCTGAATGATCTTTGTTCTCCTTTTCACTATTGTGTTCTTTTAATGTTCTGAAATTTATTTTTAAAAATGAACTTAGATGTATACACACAAAGAAAGAAGTTCCTTTATTCAGTGCCTGTATTCTTCATTTTGACCTTAATTGGAATCAACCCATCAACTTGGTTTACTTATGCCCTCATCATATTATTTTTGAAGCAAATACCAGATATCGTTTTGTTTTATATATTCATGTCATTGAATTATTTCTTTGTGGGAACAATGTTTTTCTTTAACATTGATTTTCTCTTTGCTAACTTGAAATATAGTTCTATAATTGCTGTTTAAATTTTTAGCCTTGGAAATTCAATAGTATGAGAGATTCAAGGGAAATTGAAAATTTATAATAATGGGAATAGTTAGCATTTATTGAGTTCTGAGCCCACCAGTGCGCTTAACTAATTATTTAGTCTGTTTAACTCAGCAACACTGCAGAGTAGGTATTAGTCCTATGCCTAAATGGAGACGCTCAGACACAGATATTAGGAAGATTGTTAGTGTCGCATACCCAGTCATGGCAGAAGAAGGCGCAGCTTAGATTTTAGTCATTGTTTAGTCTATCTACAGGGATATACATACTATGAATAGGGAGTACCTGAGAGAATTGGGAAGTGATTAGAAAATGTCAGTGGTCAGTTTTGTCAGCTACTTGTCTTACATTTTTGGAAGCATTACTTACCTTACCCCACCCTTCCTTACTGCATGGCACAATTCTTGCTTTCCATCCTCAGCTTTCCCCGCTATTTCAGGTATGTTTCCTTTCTTTCATTATTTAAAGTTCTTTGACTGTTTCATTCCTTCCTTCGTTCACTTCTAAATTCTTTAATCTAGAAATTGTGATAGTGAAAAATCTAATGTTTGCTTTAGGATCTTGCCTCTGCTGGCTTATTTCTGGTAGCAACAGTTTCTGGTACTTAGTAGGTGCTTAGTAAATGTCTACTGGGTGGCTTACTTTCCACAGTTATTAAAAAGGAAGATCACCTGTCTTCCTCTTTATCAAAGCATATTGAATCCCATATTCTTCCCCTTGTTGGAGGACCCCTCACACAGTGTTCAGCGGGCCAGATAGTTCAGTACTAAGACCCAAGGATGGAGAGCTGCTTGGGTCTTGTGCTCCCAGGGACCACCAAGGCCAACTGGTGGTGCTGGCTGGGGTCGGGGGGTGGGTATGTTTAATGCCAAGATTCCAAATTGAGTCCCATGCAAACAAAATAATAGCGGAGTTATCTCCCTGACCCCTGGATCCCACTTTCTGAATCCTAAATAGTATTGATGCACTGACACTGATTAATCAGTTATTTTTTTCTTCTTTCATGTCCCCTCTCACCCACCAGGATATTATTTATTTGTATTTAAAAAAGGAATAAGTCACTCAAAATGCTTGATGAATCATTAGAAAAAGTTGTCATAGAAAGTGGAGTATTACATTTTGCAGTAGCAGTTTCTTTCGCCTCCAAGTTCTCTCTTATCTTTTCGTTAAGGTTGAACTTAAGCTTTATTATGTCTTCCATAAGATTCTTCTGTCAGTTCAGTTCACAGTGATGCCTCTTATCCTTTCTCTAATGCTTTGCCTCTTCCACTTATTTAGCATTTGTTCTTCCATTTTCATGTTAATTTAAATGTCCTGTCTTCTCAGTTGAATAGTGATACTCTCCTGGGCAGGGACTCTCATAATAGTCAACTTGCAATAAATGTTACTTGTCAGTGGAAGTGAATTCTTTAAGGTAGACATAATGCCATTTAGAAAATTACCTTTTCTTTTTGTCTCTTGTTTCAGAGTGCCTGATCATTACTCTGGTTATGAAAAATAAATCCTTCCATGAGAAGGGTTGGTATTGACTGGATGTTTTCCTAGTCAAATTGCATTTGAATAATTTTTTTAGATTATTTGAGAAAAGTTTTAAAGCAAATGATAAGTAAGGTTGATAAATGATATTTAATAAAACATGAAATTTACAAAAATGTTAAACTATGCTTTTGAGGGGTAAGTGACACTGTATTTATCTTCATTTATTTCATTTAGGATCATAAAGATGAAGTAACATGTGTAACATATAATTGGAATGATTCCTACATTGCTTCTGGATCTCTCAGTGGGGAAATTATTTTGCATAGTGTAACCACAAATTTATCTGCTACACCTTTTGGCCACGGTAGTAACCAGGTACAGTGTTGGGTTATTCAATAAAAGTTGATTAGTTAAATAATCATACCTATGTGATACAGTTGTTGTCAAAATTATTTGCCCAAAACTCTAGTTATTTTTCATTGTATTTAAAAATTTTCAGACAACATGCTAATTCGTACTTGACTTTGTTACATTCATTGTTATGTCATTAAATAGTTCAATGCTATTAGAATATAGCTGGGTATAAAAAAATACAAATAATTTCAATAGCCTAAGCCCAAGACACAAATATTAGTCTTTCTGTCACAGTAAGAGGGGTGCTGTATACCCTAAATATTGCCAATTATAAGATAGGTGCTTATGTTCATAAGTTCTCTGATCATTGGGTAATTTAGAATAATTAGACACAGGATAAATTTCATGGTCACGGTCCTCCCGTTGTTCATCAGTTTGCTCGAGCAGGCCCAGTAACGTCTCCATCGGAGACTTTGTTGTTACTGTGTTTGGCATATCGAATACGTCACGGGGAGCTTGCCAGGCTCTGCTGTGCGGGCAAGATACTCTCGGCAGCTTGCCGGGCTCTCCGAGAGGGGCGGAGGAATCGAACTCGGGTTGGCCATCTTGGCTGCGTGCAAGGCAAACGCCGTACCCGCTATGCTATCACTCCAGCCCAGGATAAATTTAGTTTTGATTTATATTTAAGTATAAGATAAAATATGTATTTCCGGTAAGTACCAGGAATACATATAAGAGAGTTTTTGTGAAGGAAATTTAGTCAATCAGCTATTTTTCTGTATAAAAAGTTGGGACTGGAGAGATAGTACAGTGGTGCTTGCCTTGCACACTGCCGACCCAGGTTTGATACCCAGCACTCTGTATGGTACCCTAATTACCACTGGGTATGGCCCCCCAAAAAAACAAAAAGAACAAAAAACAGCACAAAACAAAATGCTTATTGAAATTTCTTTCAAGAATAAATTTCATTTAAGAAATTTAATTTTTGACTAATTTTCTATATAACTTTTCAGTGAGGTGCAACTTTTAAAAATCCTCATATCTGACTGTAATACTTTGAGCATAACATTTAGTCCAGTAAAATAAGGTTTTCATTTTTGAAAAAAGCTGTTTGAAAAAATTATTGTTTGACAGGGCTGAAGCGATACGATAGCACAGTGCGTAGGGCGTCTGCCTTGCATGTGGTCGACCTGGGTTCAATTCCCAGCATCCTATATGGTCTCCTGAGCAATGCCAGGCGTAAGGAGTAATTCCTGAGTGCATGAGCCAGGAGTAACCTCTGTGCATCATCGGGTGTGACCCAAAAAGCAAAAAAAAAAAAAAAAATATTGTTTGAGTAGTTTTTAGTGTTTGGGAAATATTTAGAGAATATTTAAAATGTACACAAGGTATTTTCTTAAACTTTACTTCCTTTGGAAGGAATAAAAGTTCACTTCTAAACTTTTTTCCTTTGGGAGGAATAAAAGATACATATAAATGACACCTGAGTTATTGATTTAAAGCAATCTTGATAATTCAGTCTGAAAGAAAACAGTTTGATTTAGAATAAAATAAGAAAATCAAAGAACTTCAGCTGAGTCTAATGCATAATGAATTTTTGTCTTCAATATAAACTTTCGAGGGTCAGTTATTACATTCTGTCTGGCATCAGGTTTGGTACTTCAGATGTCTGTGTTACAGTTGGAATCAAATTTCATTTCTTTGTCCTCAACCATTTTCAAGCTTTGTGCTTTACATGGAAAAGATGTGCTATAATTATGTTAATAGATGAATATGTTTAGAGATAACAAAGACTTTTACTGGGCTAATAGAAATTTTTAGGGAAGCAAAGTATTATGTGGAGGAAATATTTTGAAAGCAAGAAGGGTAGGCTGGTGGAGCCCACTCAGACGGTACTTGACTGTCAGTGCTGGCCTGATATTACATTGTACAGCCCAGTGATGTGATGATAGTTGGGCCACTACTTGGTACTTCTTGGGGATCAGATTCAGGGCCTCATTCCACATGCTATCACATGACCTGGGTTTATGGGTTTTACATAGTGCCAATGTGAGAAAAGATTGGAAAGGTAAGTATGAACGTAGTTGGACTTTGAATTCCACACAGATTTTATTTTTATTTTGCATGACATTTAGGGGAGTTTTAGTTTTTGATTAGTAAAATGTCAGAATCATAGGATCTTTGGACTGGGATATAAAACAAACAAATTAAAAAAACAAAACTCAAGATGTTTTATTTCTGTATTTTATCAGTTGGATTAAGTGAATTGTGTAGGTCTGGTCTCTATTAGTTTTTAATATATTGTTCTCTTTCACCAAGTGGTAGTTTATACTGTTTTAATACTATGTGGTTCTCTGTTATATAAGTGAGCCATGATTTGTTTATTCTATTGTCAATGGACATGGTTTTAGTTTTTAGCTATTACAAAAACTCCTGTGAATTTTCTTATATAAGACTTTCTCTGGGTATAAATTTTCATTTTCCTTAAGTGTGAAATACTCAGGAGTGGAATTGATGGGCCTTAGGGTATTCATGAAAGTTTATTTTATTAAAAATTGCCAAGAAGTCTTCCAAATGTTTCTAAAATAGTTGCTACTTAACACTTGTGCTTCCTCTAGGGTAGTTGGATCTTTTGGTATACCTTTACATTGCAAACCTGGAATTATTTGGAGAGCTAGCTTTGTAAACTTTGACAAGTTACTTAATTCTTAGGCCTCAATTTTATCTCCCAAATAAGAATAATAATATATTTTTGATAGGGTTTGTGATAGATTAATAGTGGACTTTAGGGTGAGCCTTTATGTGATTGCTACTAATTAGCACAATTCATTGAAATCATTGTGATTTGCTTTCCTAAACTAGTTTAAACATTTTAGATGGAATAAATTTCCTTCAAATTCCAATTTAGTTGCCAGTTGGACTTTATTTGGGATTGTTTTCTTCTCTTTTCTCTGAAACAGACATTTATATAGGTTTTTGTATATCATTCCTATCTCCCCCTCCCCTACCCCCCGTCCTCCATAGGATTCAGACAGAGTGCATGGACGGAAAATACCATTTGACTTCTATGTACATGAAAATATGCATGTCAGTTTTGCTTAGTGAGGAAAGTTGGTCTTTGTGGCTTACATACTTATGTTTCCCTTTTATAGGCAACACAATAAAAATCTTTATAGATTTTTTAAAACCTTTTTTTAAAATGCTGTGATTTACAAAGTTGTTCATGATACATTTGTTTCAGGCATTGAATATTCCAACACCAATCTCACCACCAGTGTGACCCAAGTCCTTAGAAGGCACAAAATGAATTATTTTATATTGCTTGTTATAATTAAATAATGGAATTACTAAAAAATACTTATAAAAATTATGAAAATTGTTTTATTCCACCGTAGGGTCATTAGGTCCCTGTCTGAGGATTTACTAAGCTATTCTTGCTAGTTGAAACTTCTGTGTTAATATTTTTGTTTATTGAGCTTAGTTGGCTTCTACCTTACTTTCCCCTCCAATTTGGTGTATTCCTTCCTATTGGGATGTTAGTTAGGGTGCCCCAAACATTTGATCTGAGAGACTGGTGTGCCCATTAATTTTTGTGTCCAGTTCATCTGTTCTGAGATGTAATCATGAGTCTGCTGCTGCCATTTAAGCTTATCACTTGACTCATATTTATTTTTTTTTAAAAGTCATTTCCCCCCCCTAGTTTTTATTATGGTTTATTGTTGTCATCTGTTCAAAAGCTGTATAAAATTGAAAAAAATTAATATTTCTCAAAATGTATTTAAAAATTTAGATATATGGTTTCCTGACTTTAATCAATATTTATAAAAATTTCAACTACGTCAAATATTTGACATAATCCAATTCAGATATACTTGCTAACCCAACCCAATTTCTATGTTGATTACTTTAGATAGCGTCCGGGCTATTGAGAAAAATAGTGGGCAGGCCAAATCTAATAATCAAATTAAATTGTTCTGTCTTGTTTCTTTGAATAATCAAGAAGTTGAAATCTTTAAAAACATCAAATTGATTTCTGAGTGAAAGTGACAGAACCATGGCGTCTCACTGAATCTGCATTATATTGAACTTCATATCGGAAATGAGATTGCCTGAATATATTTAGAATCTTACTTTGAAGTGTCTGAGCTGAATTGAAGCTATTAGTTTTATGTGGTTCACAGTGTCTTTCTGCAGCGGAAAAGGAGCCTTCTGCTTCTGCAGCATGCCAGGGCTGACAGACTTCTTAGATTATAATTGCATGTCACTGTTTGGCAAGTTCAGCAGTTTCAGCTCACAGATGGGTTAATATGTGCTGCCTTTCTCAAACAGTAACTTTTAAAAAGGAATTGAAAAGAGGATCAATGGAATTGATTTAGGTTTAAGAACAATGTTTAACTACATAGCAAGCATTCTGTGAAATTTTTAAGTATAGTATATTTCGGTGTATGTTAAATCCATTTCCTTTTGCTTTTGCTTTGAGTTCACACCTAGCAGTGCTCAGGGCATAACTCAGAGATCAGTCAGGATACCATATAGGGTGCTGTGGAGCGAACCCCGGTCTGTCTTGTGCAAGGCAAGTGCTTAGCCTACCTGCTGGACTGTCTCTCTGATCCCATGAATCTATTTTCTTAAGTAAATTTTAGAAATGTTAATATAGACTTTAAGAATTAATAAACATGGGGGCCTGGGCTCACTCATCACAGCAGTTGCTTTGCTGTGATGGTTCTACTCCCAGCACTGCAAAAAAAAAAAAAAAAGAATAAGCCTGTTTAAGATCTGGTGCATGTAAATAATTATTCATTGCATTTTAAAAGATAATTATTTTATCAAGAATAAGTTTTAACTCTTATTATATCTGATTTGGCTGATTGGGTAGTAATATTTCATTTTTAGTTTTGCTATGCCAGGGCCTCATACATTACTGGTTATGTTTATACCTGGATTCTCATACTCAAAAAGATTAACTGACTACAGAATTTCATTGCTAGGGTTGTGGTCTCCTTTATGTTACATGGGTTTAT